CGGGGGCGGCAGAGGTGGGGAAGGCTGTGAGGCGGTGTAGGGGGTGACCAGCTTGGGCTGTGGGGATAAAGGGGGCATAAGTGAAGTGTAGGGTCGATTCAGAGACTCCATTCTGGCCTAAAAGGAGTATAAAAGGGGTGGTGGGATGGGAGAGAGAAAACACAACAAACACAACAGTTACAGAGGTAAGCTTTGCGTAAAACTAAACAGCAAGGAATCTGGGACATGCAAGAAAGGACTCAGCAGTGGGACATCACAAAGGCGAAAATCAGACTCCCTGGGCAGCAAGGCACAGCATTTGATCACCCAGCAATACTCTCCAACGGCAAGACTGCCTAACAATCTAGGAAAAAGGTCCTGCTGCAAAAGCTGTTGACGGGTGACGGGCGGCCTGATTTCTGAGCCCTGACTTTCTCACACCTGCCCTGAATGGGCACCCCCGTGGGTGGACCTCCGAGCATAGACCCCACCAGGACTGTGGCAAGGGAGACGTGATGGGTCGAGTTCACCTTTCAGTCTGTGGCTGCATCCACATCAAGCAGATGCCATAACTGGGTTTAGGAGTGCTGGTGGAGGGCCTCCTGAGGAATGAGGATGGCTTTTTGATGCTAGCAAGCGGACACGTGAGAATATGAGAATGTTCAGCAGGCGTGCACAGTCACACAGGAATGAATGAGCTTGACACACACACTCGTGTTCGTGTGAGACATTTGCATCCAACATGCACAGAAGTCCAGCAATGCAGGTAAAGGGGGGGGCATTCTTTACATTTGTGTTACTGGAAAATACATAAAGAAATGCTTCATAAACATTACAGCAAAAGATCATTAAAATACCATCACAGAAAAAGCCAGGAGAAAATGAGAGGAAACCTTTGAAAACTAGAGTAAAGAAGATATATCAAGAAATGGGAATGAGAGTTTGCCAACAACCTGCTGACCAGCCCATCTGGGCATCTCTGGCATTGCCTGAATTACCACATTTGGTCATCCATTTCACGGACCCAACTCACACAAGAATGTGGTTCAAGTACTTTTGAAAAGAGCAAAAGAAGGACCCTTGGTTTATTAAGTTTGGGTACATCTTTTAGGTTCTTTGAACAAACTGTGAAGATCCAATATAAATCATTTGTTTCCAAATTATGAATGACATCTAATTAGCGTCAAAAATGCTTAGGTTAGTAGACTAGAAGGCTGAATTCTAATGCCCATTAGGACACTCACATGTTTTTTTAAAAACTGCACAAAATAAAAGCATTAGTCTGGGAGATTTGGTTACAGGAGTCACCCAGGTTAATGTGTTTCCAAAGAACAGTCCCTGACCTTAACTTGACCCTGTCTTGGCTGCTGCAGGGGTGCAGACCTTAGCTGTGCTGGCCTTCTCAATTGGCACCTGAGGCTGAGGTAACAGAAGAAACACAGGGGTGGGGGGTCAAGACAAACAGACTAGCACCCCTACACAGCAGGGTGCACGCTCCTGAAACTACTAAGGCGAACTATGCTGCTTCATCACACAGCATTTGGACCTTTGTTTTCCTTGGCCTTTCATTTCAAATGCACATGGAGAACACCATTAAAAATTTAGTAAGGGAGAAGACTTTTCTTTAGATACCTGAATTGTATAAATCTGCTTTTCTACATATGTAAAATTATTAGTACCAGATAGGGCTGTTCCACCCAGATTGATTAAGTGGGGAAAGGTATACCATAATTTCTTAAAAGTATGAACCCCTGATATGGGAGTTAAACAAACTGGCAGTGTTTTGAGAATTTAGGTCATTAGAACCAATTCTCAAATATTTATTTCTAAGACAAAGTGTTCCATCCCCACACTACCACTAATGCCTCTAAGAGCCTACTATAAGAGCCTACTAATGCCTCTTCCTGAGGGCCAGTTTATCAACCACATAAATAAATAACTGGATAAATTAAGGGAAAATATCTGTTTAATTCACATTGGTGAATACACTTGTGTAAAGTGATTCAGACCAAAACAACAACAACAACAAGAAAAATCACAATGATTATTGGGTAAAAACACAACAGTCAGGCCAGGTGTGCCACTGGTCCTTCGGTGATGGTGTGGGCTCCTGCCTGCTCAGAGGGCAAGGACAGCTGGGATGCAACACTGCCCACAGAACTTCACAGGTAGTGTGATATGATGTCTTCTACTTGGGCTAAAGAACCTCTGTACTTCTGAATAGTCTTGCAATAATCATACTCGTCCTTCAGTGTCACTGAAAAAACTACCATACAAAGCTCAGGGATCCAAAATTTTAAGGGGATTCATCTGAATTTAGTCTTCCACATATACTAAAATTCGAGAGAATTCATCAATGTGCAGAGAAATGCCAAAAAAGTGTAAAGGAAAAGACGACAAAGGAGTGAGTCTAAATAAATTAAATTAATAACAAATAATGCACCATAAGCAGCTTCTCTGGAACAAAATTAGGGCACTGGCACTAAATGGCGTTACTCCATCCAAACTGATTAAGGGTGAAAAAGAAGAAATTGTTATTTCTTAAAAATGTGAGCCACTGATAAAGTCGTTAAACTGCTAGTTTGAGATCTTAGGGCATTAGAGTCAAGTGACAGATACTCATTTTTGAGGAGAAGTCAAAGTAAGAATACTGAAATAGGGCCCAGAGAGTCCTAACCAAGGAATAAAAGAGCAACAAACTAAACCCATGAAACGTCAAACAGATTTCTTCCTATCAGTGAACACAAGTGTGTTACCTACCTTGCTGGACTCTTCTAACTGAGTGCCCCGTTTCCAGGCTTCAGAGAAGATGGAGCTCACAATGCTCTGGGAGCGGACATGTCCTGCTGGCTGAGTGTCAGACACTCCACTGTCAGACTGGTTTGAATGGTTTGACTGAGACTCTTTAAAAGAGATTTTCAAAAATAGGATCAAATAAGTCATTGTTGTGACAATGTGAATGTGCACACTTAGCTCTTTTACACAAGACAAGATGCTATGCCACAGTGCAACAAGTTACTTTTACTCAAACTCATTTCATATAAACACTGTCTGGACCTTCCACTAGAAAATTTTTATCTTAGGGCTAGTAGGAAATCTTGATTCTTTTTAAATAGTTCACCATGACAGGCTGACCGTTACAATGAAAGGTTCGTGTAACATTACTGGTATCCTGAAAACTTCTTGTAAGAACTCCTAGCAATTAAGAGAATCAGTAAACTACCAATAGAGGAGTTGAATTTTTTTTTCCAATCACATCTTCATTACACCAAGACTCAATCTTTGTATACACTCCTGCTTCAGACCATCCTAGAGAGTTCTCACTTACAACTTCAGATCATACATGAAGTCTACTTCCTTTTTTGCCTGCAGTGACTAGTACTTAGGAACTACACCTGTGTGAGAAGTGTTTTCTAGGGATTCAGGTATTGGCACCACAAGGCAGCTAGCCACACTGCAGCCTGGCCTCCTGGTAAGGCAAGAACACCTCTTTGAGGGAGCTGGGTATGGTGGAGGGTACACTGCAATCTGACATCCAGGGAACTGGGGAGATTAAGTCACTGGACCCCAAGTCAGGCAAGATAACCATGCAGAAGGAAGCACCTAGCTCAATGATGGAGATTCAGGTGTTAAAGCAGTCCCATCCAATACTTGGTGAAGGGGGGGTTATTATCAGATTGCTTTATTAATCAAGTCCAGCCAAGGTAGCCAAAGAAGTACACAGATAACAGCCACAAACTCCTATGGATAAAGTCAGGACATATCCTCAAGGCAAAAATATAAGCTATGAGATAAAACCTACTCTGTTTTCTTCTTTCTCCACCATCTAATTGCTGAGTGTTTTTTAAGCTTTTAATTTTAATTCCAGTATATTAACATACAGTGTTAGTTTTAGGTGTCCAGTATAGTGATGCAACAATTCTACCCATTACTGAGTGCTCATCATGGTAAGTGTACTCTGTAATCCCCATCACCTATCTCACCCATCCCCCGCTCCCCCACCCCTCCTCTCTGGTAACCAGTAGGTTTGTTCTCTATAGTTAAGAGTCTGTTTCTTAGTTTGAGTCTCTTTTTTCCTGTTCGTTTGTTTTGTCTCTTAAATTCCACATAAGTGAAATCATATGGTATTTGTCTTTCTCTGGCTTATTTTGCTTAGCCTAATGTTCTCATGCTGCATCCTTGTTCTTCCAAATGGCAAGATTTCATTTTTTATGACCAAATAATATTCCATTATGTGTGCGTGTGTGTGCTTGTGTATACCACATCTTCTTTATCCATTCATCTATCAATGGACTTTTGGGCTGCTTCCACCGTTTGGTTATTGTAAATAATGCTGCCATAAATATAGGGGTGCATATATCCTTTTGAACTAGTGTTTTTGTATTCTTTGGGTAAATATCCAGTAGTGTGATTCCTGGTTCTATTTTTAATTTTTTGAGGAACTTCCATACTGTTTTCCACAGTGGATGCACCAATTTGCATTCCCACCAACAATGCACAAGTGTTCCTTTTTCCTCCATAACTTCACCAACACTTGTTTCTTGTGTAATTGCTGAATGTTTTTTAAAAAGTTGCAACTTCATTAGCGTATGTCCCTATTTAACTGCTATTCAGGACAACAGCCTGTAAGATAAGAGGCTGGAATATGTGAATCCTTGAGCTCTCTTCAGCATGAATGCACATGATTTTGCAATTTATATTTACACGGCTGCATAATACTTAACACACTGTATAAGAAGGGATGATGCTGGAGGAAAAGGCACCACACCGTGTCATAAAATGTGTGGAAGAACCTGCATTAATGCTATATAAATTTAAAAAATATATATTATGGCATCTGTTTTCTCAATCTTTCCCTGAATTTCTTTTTCTAAAATCTTACTTGTGACATATTCTTACCTTGTCTTTCTCAATCCATTGTCTCAAAAGTGTCTTCCCTTTTTAATAAACATTTTTACAAGAGTTTTAGATTTACAGAAGAGTTGCAAAGCTAACAGAGTTCCTGCACACCTAGCACCCAATTTACCTCATTATTAAGTTGCTACATTACCCTGGTACATTTGCCACAATAAAGGAACCAACAAGGATACGTCACTGTTAACTAAACTCCACAAGCTTTTTTTGGACTTCACTTATAGTTAGTTGTCATGTCTCCTATGACAGTTTCTCAGACTTCCTTTGTTTTTGATGACTTTGACAGTTTTGAGGAGTAACAGGTCACGTATTTTAGAGAATGTCTCTCAATTATTATTTTGTCTGATGTTTTTCTCTTGATTAGATTGAGTTATGAAATTTGGGAAAGAAGACCAAGAGAGGCAAAGTGCCAATTTCATCACATTATGTAAAGGGTACATGCTATCGACAGGACATATTACTGAAGACACTGACCTTGACAACTTGGCTGAGCTAATTTTTGTCAGGTTTCTGCACTGTACAGTTACTCCCCTTCCCCCACACCTAACCATCCTCTTGGCAAGCAAGTCACTCTGCCAACCCACACTTAAGGGGGGAATTAAGCTCCATCTCCTTGAGGGAAGAGTGTCTGCACAAACCACTTAGAACTCTTCCATCCAGAAGATCTGTCTCTTCCCCATTTATTTATTCAAGAATTTATATCCATATGGACTGATGGCTGTTTATTTTATAATTTGGGTTATGATCTTAGTTATTTTGTTGTTCCAACTGTTACAGCTTTGGTCCCTGGACACTCTCTCAGGTGGCTCCTGTGTCCCTTTGCACAGACTAATCACTGTGTTTTTTGAGCACTTCCTTCATTACAAGCTGCTCCAGGCTCCTCTTATTCTCTGCCACAGCCCTAGAATCAGCCATCTGCCAAAGAGCCCTAGTTCTTTTGTTCTGGAAAATGGAATTAGAAAACCAAGATCTAGGCTCTCTGCATTTTCACTGCCACTGGGGTGTCACCACTCCTAGCCCTCTCTGTGGACAGTACTAGGAAATATATGTATGTATACTAACCGATGTGTATACACATTCTCATTTTGTTTCGTAGAGATGAAATAAAGTCATACAACTTTTTAGTCAAATACTTCTTTTTAAAAAGCCTGTATTTTGGGGCAAGTAGGTGGGTTAAGCGTCTGACACTTGGTTTCGGCTCAGGTCACTATCTCCCAGTTTCGTGAGTTTACTCCCACGAAAGGCTCTGCACTTGGCAGCATGGAGCCTGCTTGGGATTCTTTGTCTCCCTCTCCCTCCCTCCTACTTGCACTGTGTCTGTTTCTCTCAAAATAAATAAATAAACTTAAAATTTTATTTTAAGTACATAAAATAAAAGTCCATGTTTTTATTTTATCCTAAAGTAAAATAGATTCTGAAAAGTAGAATTTTCTTAAAGCATATACACATAGCCTGGTAAAAACACAGTAAAAGATTAATTCATATGTTGTACTAATAAATGATGAGAGGTTTTTTTTTTTTTTCAAATACCTCTTAAAGTCATTATTTCTTTCATAATATGTAAGGACAAATAAAAACATTCTGCTTTTAGAGGACATAGTTACTCATATTCATGAAATATTTTGAAGGGAAAGAAGCATTTTTAGGTGTGATCACCACATACTTTAAGGATGTGGGATCTGAAAATAAGTACCTTTTGAGTATCATTGATTTTCTGTGAAAACTTAAGTTTGATGACTTAAACAGCCTCCTTAACTGTGATACTGAACTAATTCTAGTTATTTCCACTCTGTTGAAATGTCAGGAACCCTCTGGGGAAGGAGGGCAATTTCATCATGGATTCTCAGTATGGAGACTTTCTCCAAGGAACTTTTCTACCCCTGAGTATGAATCAACAGTTGTTTTTTGGCAGTATGATTTTTTTTTTTTTTTTCCATTTATTTACTTGAGCGTAGGGGGTGGGGCAGAAAGAGGAAGAGAGAGAATCCCAAACAGGCTCCACACTGTCAGCACAGAGCCCGATGTGCGGCTTTAACTACGAAACCATGAAGTCATGGCTTGAGCTGAGATCTAAGAGTCACTTAACTCATGGAGCCACCCAGGTGCCCTACTATGACTGAGTTTTAAATAAACTTTACAAATATATAACAACACTCCTGAATTTACAACTCTATACTGCTGTTCCATTTCAAATACATTTGTGATCTAGCCCATGATATTGTCCCCTCTAATCACCAAAAAATTTATTTTATAATTTAGACATTAGGTATAGCTCTGCTTTTAACAACCATGCTGAAATAACCAGGTCTGCCATCGTTCATAGAGATATCTTCATATTGGCAGTAAATAGTGCTTTCAGTGTTTCAAACTACCTGGGATGCTCGATGAACTAGATCCTGATTTAATGCTGGAGCTGGATAAGGAAGTCCAATCATAAGCCGACTCTGTCCTCTTCAAGGCTTCTTGATAGTTCATGTAGAGCTGTTTCCCATACTAAACAGAAGGCAGTAAATGGTGACGTGAACTTTACTGGGTATGATACAGATGGGTGAGGTAAGACAGGGGGATGCATTTCTGTTTACTGATTCATAGTTTGCATTAAAATTAATACCTATAAATACTTCAAAAGTTATTTTATTACCAGTAAATTATAATCTACTCCTATTTTTCATTTTAATAAAGATACCAATAAATTAACACTTCATTCATATTCCTTATCAATATAAAGATTTTTTTTGTTATTCCTAAGGCAACTCTGATTTTATAGCTATAATAAATTTTATTTTACTTAATGGGCAAAAATATTCCTTCATGTATTATGTATAATCTTCTTCAAAATGTCCTTAAAATTTTTTTCAAGAACTTCCTTTTTTTAAAGAGTTTTAGATTCACAACAAAATTGAGAGGAAGGTACAGAAACTTCACATATGCCCCTGCTACTACCCATGCACCATCTCTCTTTTATCAACATTCTCCACCAGAGGGTGCATTTGTTTCCATCAATGAATCTACATTAACACCTTATAATCAAAGTCCATAGTTTACCTTAGGTTCACTCTTGGTGTTGTACATGCTATGGGGTTTGAAGAAATGTATAAAGACATGTATTCACCATTCCAGTATTACAGAGTATGAATATTTTCACTGACCTAAAAATCTGGTGTCCTGCTTATTCATCCCTCTACTCCTACCTTGAAGCAATTTAATTCTCAAAAACTTTCTCTGACTTAGGCTAAACTCTGCTACAGAAGAATCATGTAATGTGTTCTCCAGAGCCAAAATAAATCACTCTGATGCTACACTTTTACCAGCAGTATGATTTCATGGATACCAACTGTTAAATGTCTATCTCCTCACCAAGGAAAGAAGACATTTCAAACATAAAACTCAGAAAACACTGACAAAATCATGAACATGAAATGATTAGAATTGTCATGACAATCAAAACCACATGAAACACCTCATCATATTCTATCATCAAACCAAAAACAAAACAAAACAGAAACAAAAACACCCTACCTTTGCAATGCGAATACCATTAACCCACTGGTGCAGGGTCCTCACATCATCACAACAAAGGTACTTGATATACTGAGATTTCTTCTGGATCTGTGGGTGCTGCAATATTAAAGGCAAAGTCTAATTCAGTCCCCTGGAGAACTAAAGAAAAACTCTATCAAAGCTGAAACATACCCTGACAAGTTATAGGCCATTAGAGTAATGGCCAAAAATAATTTAAACCTCTTATGTGGGCATAAGGCCAAATAAAATGGGCCATAAGTATTTTTACAAAATAAACTACAAAGAAACTTATGTTAAATTTTAGGTCAAGATATATGCAAGGTAAAAAATACCTTCATGTCATGGCTAATTCCCAAATACCTTCTGTATTTCAGAGAAACAGAGGCCATCAAGGTTAACAAATCAATATAACTCTTCATCTGTAAGACTATGAAAGGGAAAATTTTGATTTCACTTTGAACCCATTGGAATCATGAGTTCAGAAGACTCCAAATGAGAGCGTCTTCGGTAAAGCTTCTAGAGCTTCTGTGGAGGTGAACCAATGGGTGGAGTGGGTGAAGTGCAGGACACAGCACCTAAGACAGAAGTGGGTGCTCACACCTGGTGCAGGGGTGCCCCCTTTGTGGACTGAGCACTGCTCTGCACCCCTTCTACCCACAGCACGTACCCTCCAAGGAATGAGCAGCCTTTCAACTGCATCATCAGAATGAGTTTTCACAATCCAATGTACTTTTCAGCTGCAGCTAGGATGGGAGATGACTGACCAGACCAACTACACAATGCAAGTGCTAGAATGGACTGAAGGTATTTTAACTCTACTGGGCCACAACCTGGAAAGAAAAGCCCCAAATCACACTTGGTCTGGATGTAATGGTTGTTAATTTATTACTTCTTTTTTCAGTTATTCTGAAAAAACTTTGAAATGGCTATATTTTACCTGGGGAAATATTTACAATTATGTTCAATTATGAGAGGCTTTAAAGATTCTCTAACCACATTTGTTGTGGGAATCCATGAGATCAATAAAATAAGTTGGTTGAGCATCTGACTCTAAATTTTGGCTCAGGTCATGATTTCACAGTTGTGGGATCAAGCCCCCACAAAGGACTCTCCGCTAGGGATTCTCTTTCTCCCTTTCCCCCTCCCCCCATGCACATCAGTCTCTCTCTTCCTCTCTCTCTCTCAAAAGAAAAAAAAGATCCATCTCTCTGGTCTACAGTGTGAGGAATTTAAATCCATTTATTTTATTCTATGCATTGCTTTAGAAATCTCAGCTCCTATAATAAAACATTTAATACCAAAACCAATTTAGTTACTAAAGGCTATAGTCAAAGTTTTAAACAATAAGTCCTCAGCAAAAAGAGGTTAGCAAAACAATACTTAACAGTTTTCTCTCCTAATTCTATAGGTTCCACGGCCTTCTCTTGGCATATATTTCCTCATCCTTATTAAATTACATTATAATAAACCACCATAGCAATCTTGAAAAAGTAAAGGAGGACAGGGAGAGGAGATGTATTTTCCATACAAGAAAGAAGAATTCTATCTCATTCATTCATGTAACAGAAATATTAAGAACTGTTAGCCAAATCTTTAAGTAGGTGTTGGGATATACTGTGAGCAAAACAGAAGAAGTCACAGTCCATGCAGAAGATAAAATGGGATGGGGCGCTTAGGTGGCTTAGTCGGTTAGACGTCCAACTTCAGCTCAGGTCATGATCTCGCAGTTCATGAATTTGAGCCCCACATCGGGCTCGGTGCTTACAGCTCAAGAGCCTGGAACCTGCTTTGGATTCTGTGTCTCCCTCTCTCTCTGCCCTTCCCCCCTCACTCTGTCTCTGTCTCTCAAAAATGAACATTAACAACAACAACAAAAAAAAAGATAAAATGGGATGACTGAAAAAGAGCTTTTTTCAGTATTGCCAGCTAGCTCTTGAAGAGTAGCTGTTCTCCATCTCCTGCTTCACTCAGGCACTGCCTACAGGACACGGTGTGGACATCTGAACAAAGGTCTACAAGGTGGCACTCAGCCTTTACCACCACCCCCTCTATGGTGATTCACAAACCGTTCTTGACCGATTCCTTCCATTTCCCGAGAGCAGGGCTACCTACCACGCATGGGCATTCAACTGCAGCAGTGGCCCTGCCTGAGCGTTTGTGTTCTCCTCATTCTCTACATTAAGGGAGTATTTTTATCAATAAAATATCAGAGAAAATCAAAGAGAAACAATCCTCCATCCTCTCATTTCTCTAACCTGGGAATCCATATAACACCCTGAAGAATACTATGGATATGATTATTTGAGTATCTGCAGATTACCTGCTAGTTTAAAGTTCATTTTTGGACCTCATAACTTCTCTTTTCTAACTTCCCACGTAATAGAGACAATCCTTCTATAGTCTTCATTACGGTCACCCAGGCTCCGCAATAATACCTCAGGCAGTTGCCTGTTCCACCAAAATATTATTTTCTTAAAACTGGCATTTATTGGGGTGCCCGGGTGGGTCAGCTGATAGAGCATGGGACTCTTGATCAGGAGTCATGGGGCTCTTGAGCCCTATGTTGGGTGTAGAGATATAAAGTGGCATTTATTGAGCACTTAGTACATACCAGGCATTACGCTAAATATGTCACATATATAAATTAGTGCATTCCCTCCTCAGGAAAACCTGATGAGTTACATATTACTATCTTCACCAAATGAAGAGAAACTGAGGCTCATTACTCCAAATTGCTCACATATTCATGCTTATTAGTGAAAGAACTAGGATTTGAAACCATGCCATCCATTCCAGGGCCTGTACCTTTAATTACAATGTCATACTTCTGTCTTATTAGTGGTGATATCTTCTTCCAAAAAATGATGCCTCTCTCCTCTTTTTCCCCCATTAACATTCCACCACTGTAAACATCACACAAGAGCTAGGAGCAAGTGTGGAGGAAACATTCTTTGTCAAAAACCAAAAGCTTAACATTTAGATTCTTAAAGATTGCAAAGAAAAAAATATATATATATAATCAAATTGTTCCCCTAAACAAATTAACAGCTATTTTATCATTTCATCTTTAAAATGATGTGGATTTGGAAAGTTTGCATTCTCTCATAAAGGACAAACTCTGAGGGGTGCCTGGGTGGCTCAGTCCATTAAGCTTCCAGCTTTTGATTTCAGCTCACGTCATGATCTCACAGTTCATGGGTTTGAGACCTGCACTGAGCTCTGTGCTAAGAGCATGGAACGTGCTTGGGATTCTCTCTCTCCCTCTCGCTCTGCCCCTCCCCTGCTGTCTCTCTCTCTCAAAATAAAAATGAATACACTTAAAAAAAAAAACAAAGGAAAAATGTGAGAATTAAATAAAAATATTTAAGAATACAGTAGGAAATTCCGGATTACTATTGTACTATCAGATTAATTTTCTGTTTATGCCAAAAATTCGATTGAGATAGGTAATTTTTTTTTTATGATTATTTATTTTTAAGAGAGACAGAAAGACAGCATGAATGGGGGAGGGTCAGAGAGAGGGAGACACAGAATCTGAAGCAGGCTCCAGGCTGTCAGCAGAGCCCGACACGAGGCTCGAACTCACAAACCGCGAGATCATGACCTGAACCAGTTGGATGCTGAACCGACTGAGCCACCCAGGTGCCCCGAGACAGGTAATTCTTAAAACTAAGTAAAAGTAATGCTCTAAAATCACAGTCCAAGTGCCAAAGGAAAACCAATGAATATATACTACCCATTTATTACTTTGGAAACACAAAAAGGCTTGAAAATTAATTCTCTCACTAACATGTAAGAAGTTAAAAAACAAAATACATAACACTCAATCCTACTACTTCCACCTTTATCATATAACAACTTTCTTTTAATAATGGTGTTTGAAGTTCATTTTCATATTCCACCTCTAAATATTAACCATTTTTTCCTTCTTACCTAACATACTAAAATAAATTACTTTGCCTCATTTCTTTAGGAATAAACATTTAGACCTAGGTAAGATGAGCTATATTCCAACAATTACCATAGTATATGTATTTTAGAAATGTAAGTTTCCTTTAAGTAACGTATATACACGCATACACATGTATCCAACATGTACGGAGCTCTTTCAGATAATAGATAACATATGTCCTATTTATTCCCTCATTGTCATATTTCATGAGCAAACTCTTCCCATCATTTTTATTAATACCTTAAAAAAAACTAATTGCTGGGGCGCCTGGGTAGCTCAGTTGGTTGAGCGTCCGACTTCAGCTCACGTCATGATCTCACAGCTTGTGAGTTCGAGCCCCGCATCAGGCTCTGTGCTGACAGCTCGGAGCCTGGAGCCTCCTTCAGATTCTGTGTCTCCCCCTCTCTCTGCCCCAACCCACTTGCATTCTGTCTCTGTCTCTCTCAAAAATAAATAAACATTAAAAAAAAAAAACAACTAATTACTAAGGGGCGCCTGGGTGGCTCATTCAGTTAAGCATTGGACTTCTGCTCAGGTCATAATCTCATGTTTCATGGGTTTGAGCCCCACATCTGGCTCTGTGCTGACAGCTCGGAGGCTGGAGCCTGCCTTGGATTCTGTCCCTCCCTGCTCATACTCTGTGTCTTTCTCTCTTAAAAATAAATGAACATTAAAAAAATAAAAAAATAAACTAGTTACTAAACAATGTGCTTTATTACTTTCTACAAGTGTGTATTATATTTCCTGTATCCTGCATTTTACTGGAAGAACTGACTCAGTCATTATAGCCCAAAGGTGATAAGTAGAATCAGACCCTATAAATATTTACATTTGTGTAGATCCTGTGTGGCAGCATTTTTGGGTTTGTTAGAACTCATATGCCCAAGAATAAAAATACTTACATAGGCAAAATCTAGTACAGACTTTGCAGGAAAAAAAGGCAGGTCTTAAATACTAACAGTTGTGTCATCTCAAAAACATTGATCCCTCTAAACCTCAGTTTCCATATCTGAAAAATGGGGACTCTAGAACAGATCTGTGTGACACTGTCATGCAGTGCTTCTAGCGCAGTGTCTGCTGCCCTAGACTTCTTCGATAAATGACAGCCATTATTTTTACTACTATTTGTGCCTAGCGGTATGGTTTATTTCAGTACCTTGAACATTTTTAGATATAAATAGGTAGGCAATATAAATATATGAATTCAGCTTAACCTACACTTCACTAAAAGCAAATATGAAGTACATAAATTACTATATAAGCTAGCGAACAACTCCTCTGAACAAAAATATTCCTGACCTAAGAATTCTGTGAGCTGCAAAAGGGATTAAAATAATAGTGGTCATAATTAATTTTGGCTGTAAGAGACACTGTTGCCTTCCTCACAGCTATTTCTTCTCCCCTACTTCTTTTCTGAAAGAGCCTCAATTTTGTTTGGAAGTCTGTCAATCCCTCATCTTAGGATGTGCATTCTGATTAGGCTAAGCCAAAAATAATGGAATTAACATAACCAAGGAAAGACCTGTACTACGAGAACTATAAAACACTGATAAAGAAATGGAAGATGACACAAAGAAATGGGAAGACAGTCCAATCTCATGGATTGGGAGAACAAATCTTACAACGCCCATATTACCCAAAGCAACCTATAGCTTTAATGCAATTGCTATCAAAATACTAACAGCATTTTTCATGTAACTAGAACAAATAATACTAAAATTTGTATGAAACCACAGAAGACCAAAAATAGCCAAAGCAATCTTGAAAAAGAACAATGAAGCTGGAAGTATCATAATCTCAGATTTGAAGATACACTACAAACCTGTAGTAATCAAACAGTATTACTGGCACAAATAAAGGACACATAGATCAATGGAACGGAATATAAAATTCAGAAAGAAACCCATGCTTATATGGTTAATTTATGCCAAAAGAGGCAAGAATATACAATGGGGAAAAGACAGTCTTTTCAACAAATGGTGATGGGAAAACTGAACAGCTACATGTAAAAGAATGAAACTGGGCCACTTTCTTACACCATACACAATAATAAACTCAAAATGGATTAAAGACCTAAATGTGAGACCTGAAAACCATAAAACTCCTAAAAGAAAACACAGGCAGTAATCTCTTGGACATCAGCTCTAGCAACATATTTATGAGTATGTCTCCTCAGGCAAGGAAAATAAAAGAAAAAAAATAAACCCTTGTGGCTAGTCGGTTAAGCATCCAACTTCAGCTCAGGTCATGATCTCACAGCTTGTGAGCTCGAGCCCCATGTCAGGCTCTGTGCTGACAGCTCAGAGCCTGGAGCCTGCTTCTAATTCTGTCGTCCTCTCTCTCTGCCCCTACCCCACAAAATGAATAAATGTTAAAAAAAATTATAAAAAAAACCAAACTATTGGGACCACACCAATATAAAAAGCTTCTGCACAGCAAAGGAAATCATCAACAAAAGGACAACCTACAAATGGGAGATGATATTTGCCAATGATGTGTCAAATAAGGGGTTAATATCCAAAGTATATAAAGAATTTACACAACTCAATACCCAAAAAGACAAATAATCTGATCAAAAAATGAGCAGAGGATCTGAACAGAATTTTTCCAAATAAGACATACATATGGCCAACAGACACAGAAGATGCTCAACATCACTCATCATCAGGGAAACGCAAATTAAAACCATAATGAGATATCACTTTACAACTGTGAGAATGGCTAAAATCGAAAACATATGATATAGCCAGTGTTAGGATATAGAGAAAAAGGAACCTTTGTGCACTGTTGGTGGGAATGCAAACTGGTGCAGCCACTATGGAAAACAGTATGGAATTTCCCCTCAAAATTAAAAATAGAATTACCATATGATACAGTAATTTTGCTACTGGGTATTTACCCAAAGAAAACAAAAACACTAATTCAAAAAAATACATGCACCCTTATGTTTACTGTAACAATATATACAATAGCCAAATTATGGAAGCAACCCAAATGTCCACTGATAGATGAATGGATAAATAAGACATGGTGTGTGTACATACACACACACACACACACACACACACACACACACACACCCAGAGGAGTATTCCTCAGCCATAAAATAATGAGATCTTGCCATTTGCAACATGAATGAACGTAGAGAGTATAGTGCTAAGTGAAATAAGTCAGAGAAAGACAAACAGCATAGGATTTCACTCATATGTGAAATTTAAGAAACAAATGAACAAACAAAAAAAGACAAAAACAGACTCTTAAATACATAGAACTGGTGGTTAAGGGGGCATGGGTGGGGGGACAGGAGAAATAAAGGGGATTAAGAGTACATTCTTCTTAATGAGCAAGAAGAAATGTATAAATTATTGAATTATATTGTACACCTGAAAGTATTAAAACACCATCTGATAATTGTGCTTCAATTTAAAAAATAATTAAAAAAAAAAAAAGGTACGCATGTCCTCAGGCCAATGATTCTCAAGAGAAGGACTGTTGGTAGCTCCTGGGAAATATTTCCTCACTCTTAGACAAATACAGGGAGTAATAGTCCCTCTTCTGCTGCTGGATTTTTCTAGATCCACTGCATCATGGATCCATCATCCAGGTGATGCCTAGAACTAGAGTGGTCATCTGTACCTGTGAAGTAAGCCAGCCTGAGGATAAGCTGATAAGGCAGAAGATGGAATAGGGAAAGAAGGAAGAAATTTCGGTTCTTACAACCCTGACTCCTTGAAATAACCAACTCTTACTGTCTTCATGTTATGAGACCCCTAAATAACTTTCACTTATATGGGTTATATCTACTGATACTTACCTTATAAGAAATTAAAACTGAGAAAAATTAAAATACAAAAGTATACAAATATATGTTCCATTACTAAGACAGCAAAATTATCATCACATGTCATGTAATCTCTTAGAAAACTCCACAATACATTTGTGAGAGAATGAGAGTGTAAAAGACAAATAACATCTCAGCATTACCGGAATAGTAATTTTGACACCACAGGCCCCTTGACAGAGTTTCAGGGACTCCCAGGGAGCTTGGACTTTATTTTGAAAACTACTGGATTGAGCTACTTTGTAATGACCTTTAAAAAATTATTTGTTGCTATAACCTAAATGATACAGTGGTATTCTCCAGGAAAGGATTATTTAATAAAGGGGTACCATTACAATACAGTTAATTTTACCAAAGCAATGAAAACTCTACCCCCAAACTCAACTGACAATTCTCAGAGAAAAGAAAAATCAATGACATAAACATGTAGACATAAGTAGTTACCCAAGAGGTAACTAAGATGGAACCAATGAGGAAAACTTAAGTCATCTCCATAATTATCTTGAACTTTTATTTTTATTTTTTTAAATGTTTATTTATATTTGAGAGAGAGAGACACACACACAAGCAGGGGAGGGGCAGAGAGAGAGGGAGACACAAAATCTGAAGTAGGCTCTAGGCTCTGAGCTGTCAGCACAGAGCCCGACCTGGGGCTTGAACCCACGAGCTATGAGATCATGACCTGAGCTGAAGTTGGATGTTTAACCAACTGAGCTACCCAGGTGCCCCTATCTTGAATTTTTAAATGTTTTCTTTATCAGTGTTCCAAAGATTACTAAAAATGCACTAAAAATATCAGTTCTCAAAAGCACAGTTATAGTCCGTGTGAGAAGCTCAAAAGTTTGGATGAAAGAGGGAAGAAACTCACTAAAAACAGCTCAGATGGGTCATAATATATGCATTGGCTATCAGGGCTATGGTTTGCTGGAAAAAGTGACAAAAATCATTTCTGGACCAGATATGAGCCAGTCCACTTTGAAATTGGGCACACTGCCCCCTGATGGTTCTGCTGGGTAAATACAGGAAAAGAACTAAAACACAAAATACCTATTTCCCACTTTTGGCTTTGATCTAAGTTTCCTAAAATTAGCCTGCTTTTAGATAAAAATCTCAAATGTAAAATTTAAATATTTTGTATATTCTGACCCAAAGCTTATACAGTATCCATTTCTTAGCAACATCAATCTAATTAGGGCTACTGAGTTAGTGGTCAGCTGTGGTTTAAGCATATACTTCTTTTCCTTACCATCCTTCACTATTCTCTTCAAAACTTAAAGAGAAGGCAAAAATAGTATACTTAATAGAGATATAAACGATTCTAAAATGTCCAATAACTAGCTCTATGTCTAACATCAATTAAAATTCCTAAAAAGAGGGGTGCCTGGGTGGATCAGTTGGTTAAACATTCAACCTCAGCTCAGGTCATGATCTCGCGGTCCATGAGTTTGAGCCCTATGTCGGGCTCTGTGCTGACAGCTCAGAGTCTGGAGCCTGCTTCGGATCCTGTGTCCCCCTCTTTCTCTGCCCCTCCCCTCTCTCTCTCTCTCTAAGAATAAACATTACATTTTTTTTTTTAATTCCTAAAAAGAGAAACATGCTTACCTTTAGCACCAGACAATAATCTGTGGGTGCTTTGTATTTGTTCCGATAGTCCTGTCCATAATAAACATTGACATGATCCAGTTGGAGAAAGCACACCAGTTCTCGAGAGACCTAAGATAAAAACACCCAAAAGACTGAATGAACAATAATGTATAAAGAAGCAAATAGCATACTTGGTTAACAGTTTCTGGTGGAGAATAAAAACTTTGCTTAGTGGAAATAGTGATATTTTGTAGATAACAAGACAGTGAGATTCTCTATAAATGTTCCTTCTTTTATCCATAATGCAACAAAAAGGCAGTCCATTTCACTTACTGCCTGCCATTCACAATGAACACACTTACTTGGAAAGGGTGGCATTTTAAAGAGACTTTAAATATAATATATTAAATACAACATAGTATAACAGAGCTCTGGAAAAAAATAAAGAATCGTGTAGTTCAGTGCTTGTAATACATATCTCAAGTACAATGATTCTTAAGTCAGTGTTTCCTCACCTTAAATAGAGGCAACAAAATATACCTCTTAGGATGGTGGTTAAGACTGGATAAGATGATGCTGTAAAGAGTTTAAAACAGTGCTGGTCCCTAGTAAGCAGAGAAGTGACAGCTACCAAACGGGCCCTCAGCAGAAGCATATTATCCCAGTGAGGCTGAAATGCCTATAATCCCAAAAATCTATTCTCCCCAAACAATAACAAGCAAAACCTACTCTGACAGAAGTTCCAAAAATACTAAATAACAGTATGATTTCAAATGTGACAAGATAATTGAGATGGGCCCAATGAATGACCAAAGTGTGACCACTTTCAGGGGTCTTTTTCTTTATAACAGATCAATAAACAAAGCAGTATCCTGTGTGTCCTACAAGAGTTGAAACCATCAGAGCCTGGATTCACCCTGTCAGCATACTCACTGCAGATTAAAATCAATTGCCATAATGAGGAAGCTCAAAAGCCAACAGAAGGGACACACCTTTGCTTTTCCTTTAGGGACATAGTAGATACCAGATGCTCGCAAGAGAAAATAACGCTTTTTCCAGGACTTTTTACCATCATCTTTCAGCCACAGGACTCCTTCAATTTCTGGTACAGTTACAGAACTTCCACAAAAACATTCCTAAAATAAGAAGATGATTTGGAAAGACATGTGATCTTTTGATTCTCAAAACAAAACTGTGTTTAGCCTGTAAAATCCATGATACTATAATTAAACCAAAATGGCTTTGTAGTAAAACCACATTGCTAATTTTACCTCAGTTAGAACATCCTATTCTAAACATCATGTAGATTTATTGTGAAACAACTATGGCTATCCCTATGAACTTTCACCTGACACTTAAAAAAAAAAATTTTTTTTTAATGTTTATTTTTGAGATAAAGACAGAGTGGGAGTAGGGGAGGGGCAGAGAGAGCGGGGAAACACAGGATCTGAAGCAGGCTCCAGGCTTTAAGATGTCAGCACAGAGCCTGACATGGGGCTTAAACTCACAGTCCATGAGATCATGACCTGAGCCAAAGTTGAACGTTTAATTAACCGAGTGAGCCACCCAGGCACCCCCCCACTTTTTTTTTTTTTTAACTTAGAGAGAGAGTGCGCACACGAGTGAACATGGGTATGCAGGTGCGGGTGAGAGGGGCAGAGGGAGAGAAAGAATCTTAAGCAGGATCCATGCTCAGGGTAGAGCCTGACTCAGGGCTCCATCCTATGACTCTGAGATCATGACCTGAGTCAAAAATCAAGAGTCAGATGCTCAACCAACTGAGCCACCCAGGTGTCCCTACCTAACACTGTTTTGAAGAAAGTAAGCTGAACTGTCAACTGAGCTGCATGTAACAGGATTTAAATGCATCTGTAAACAGCATTTACACTATAACACTAAATTTAGCAAATTAGTATAACACTAAATTTAATAAAAGTCTCAGAGCTAACATAAGCATTAGATTTTATTTTTTCTCCAAATTAACAACATTTTGATTAGCTGTCAAACTAAATTTTAAAAGAAAGCAACCTGCTAAGTGATAAATTAAAATTCACAATTTAAAAATTATCAATTTATATGATTCTAAAACAAAGAGGTCATTTATTTTCTAAAGATTTATTTTAATTTTTTTTAACGTTTTATTTATTTTTGAGACAGAGAGAGACAGAGCATGAACGGGGGAGGGGCAGAGAGAGAGGGAGACACAGAACTGGAAGCAGGCTCCAGGCTCTGAGCCATCAGCCCAGAGCCTGACGCGGGGCTCGAACTCATGGACCGCGAGATCGTGACCTGAGTTGCAGTCGGACGCTTAACCGACTGAGCCACCCAGGCGCCCCAATTTTCTAAAGATTTAAAACTAGGTTGAAAGCAATGTAAACTCAAAATTATGAATTCTAATGTCTATATTAGATAAAAATGTAATTAAAAAATCAGTTATGTATCTGGTAAGAGAAAAATAGAAATCCTTACTAAATATTAACATAGAATATTTTGAACCTAAATTAATTTCTCTCTTCTCCAAGTACAGAGAAATCAGGAATTATAAAGAGGATTTTTTTTTTAACGTTTATTTATTTTTCAGACAGAGAGAGACAGAGCATGAACGGGGGAGGGGCAGAGAGAGAGGGAGACACAGAATCGGAAGCAGGCTCCAGGCTCTGAGCCATCAGCCCAGAGCCCGACACGGGGCTCGAACTCACGGACCGCGAGATCGTGACCTGAGCTGAAGTCGGACGCTTAAACGACTGAGCCACCCAGGTGCCCTAAAGAGGATTTTTAATTGTAACTAGTATCACTATGAAAAGGTGAGTGTTGATCTTCATTTTCCTAATTGCCTTTTTGCTAACTAAGTTTATTCTGGTTTTGAAATATACTAACTTCTTTGATTTTAGTTCTCTAAAATCAGCAAAGGCCAAAAAACAAAAAACTGAATTATGTTTGAATTTATTTTATTAACATTGGGGCGTATGTATGTGTGTGTGTGCATGTGTGTGTATGTATGTATATATGTGTACATCTTAAAAGATCATGATTTATAAAATTATTTGAATTATATAAAGGTAAGGCTTGAAGTATTCCGTAAATAACTAAGTATATTCAAATTTCTCTTTGGGTAAATAGATAAAACGCCACAGTCATGTCCTTCATTGACTAGTCTTTTTTCCCCACCTGTCTGCTTCTAACAGCTCATGACTCCTTTTTAGTCCACTGATATATTACTTGGCAAAATAACAGATTTTAAGAGGTTCTTCAGTGGCCTAACAGTCACATAGTTGAATTCTCCCCCTCAGGATATGGAGGAATATAGGCTTCTCTAGTTGCAAGTGCAATTATGAATATATAGCATTGATATACTCAACTTCAAAAAAGGTGCTTAGTATTTTAATGTGCAGGAAAAAAGACGGTGAGGGGAGTGAAGAGTCATACCTCCAACAGCACTTCTTTATTTCTATCTGCCATCTCGGCGGTTTCCTTTTTCCCCAGAAGATAATTCTGGAAAAATAAATAGATGAAAGTTAAGGAATAAACCCACCCTATTATTCCCTTGGAACAGGTGCATATATGATTTCTTCTAGAGATTTCTCAATTGTGTCTTCTTGTATAGAATGAGAGGAATACTGCTCTGAAAAGTAACTGGTGCATGAGCATCAGGGCTAAAATGCCTCCTCCTCCTCATTTTTCCCAATATCTTGAACTATTCCATAAACAGCCCTGCCCCAAATCCGGAGGTGATATCACATGTAACAGATGGCAAATGTTTTCAACAACTGATGAAAGGACCTGAAAGGTTTACAAATTTAGTAGAGTAAGGCAAATTTCCTTAAAATATGCTAAGCTTAAGTGATCCAGATACAAAAATTTTAATTTGTGTTCTGGCTTTAAGAGAAGAAATTCTCAATTCTCTGAGACTATCATTATATCATTTGCTTGACTCAACTAAAATCTGAATTCTAATTCTAAACTTTTTCATAATCACGTACAAAAGGATCTATTAATATTCCCAAATGTGTACTGTTCACTAAAAATATCTGGTAAAAATGTATCATGATTAAGCTGTCTGAAGGATAATTATTTAATACTTTTAACACTGCAACCATTTTTCATTACTTCCTTTTATAGTGGAGTTGTTTTCTCTTACCTACTGATTTTTATAAAATATTTGTGTTAGGAAGTATTAAACATTCTGAAATAAGCAAAGATGCCAAATAAATCAAGGTAACTTAAACTAGAAGGTAGAATCATTTATAATCAAGGTTATTGAGATTTTTTAAAAAGTCAAAATAAAGTGTCAACTGGATAAATGGAGGAAGTAGAGAATTTAAATATGAAAGTACTTTTCTTTGATAGATGAGAAGCTCACCAAATAAACAGCTGAGTTCAACAGCTCTGGATTACAAAGAGGAGAAACCTGGTATCTCCCTGGAGTTCCTTCTGATGCCCCAAAGGCTCACCCCATCTGGCTCTGTGAGACTGGTAGCCTCTTTGAGGCCTGACACCAGGGCCCCAGCAGACCTTCCACTTCAGCAGTAGTGAATGCTCCCATGAGGTTTTGCAACCACAATGCTTCAACCAGGTGGTTGTCAGTTTTTTGTTTTTTGTTTTAAATTCTATTAACTTAAAAGTAATAGAATAATGTAAGGTGAACATTTAGAAATCATGGCTTCTGTAAGTTATTCAGTCTCACCTGTGGGTTTTTGAAAAGTGCATATTTTTCTATACGTTCCATAAATATAAGCTTGTTTTGGCTATCTCTTGTCCAATTAAGAAGATTTTCAACCAAGTTTTCATGGTCTTCAAAGATTCTCTCTGTCCCAAGATAAAATATCAATATTTTGTTAGTATTCATCAGACCTGCATCAAAGGTATGCAACCTTGTGAAGTAATTCAGAGCGGAACCACACAATTTTAACTGACATTATAGTCCCTGGCCCTTAGGGATTATCTGGTCTTCCCTCTATTTTCATATAAGGAAATGTGCCCAGTGGTGTTAACTGATTTCAGCAAAGTCACACAGATGCTACATGGAAGAACTGGGACTAAAATCTAGGTCTTCTGACTTCTGTGTCTTCCTCAGCCTTCAGCCTTTGCCATCCCGCCCTTGAAAAAACAAACACCAAAATCCCCCAGCATGTTAGTTGCATTTCATAAATTCTTATATTAAGTATTCCCAACAGTATTTAGTTCTTATCATTTAAAAAATTTCCAAGATGTTTTCTTCTTTGGTCTATTGGTTTTAATTTTAAACAGATGGATTTTCTAATTTCCAAATTAGGAATCAAAGAACATGTCTTATATTTTAACCCATGTTCAAGGAACACATCCTAGATATGGATTTTTTGAAATTTCCTTTCAGGTGCTTATGGACTGACATTTGAATCAGTTTTTGAAAATATTCCATCTCTGCTTGAAAAGAATGCACACTGTCCTGTTATTAGTGTTCTTAATATGTCTATTAGATCAAACTTATTTTTCAAATCTCCTATATCCTTTTTTGTCTGCTTGATTATACTGATCACTGAAGAGATTCTTAGGTGAAAAAGTTCTACTACAAAGGCTGACTTGTGAATTTCTCCTGGTAGTTCTGTCAACTTTTGCTTTATACATTGTAATGCCATTATTAGATTAACATTTAGAATGATTACATCTTCCTGGTGAAGATGTGTGGCTTCCTTTCCTAGTGATGCATTTTGCTTAGTCTATTTTGTCTGATCTTAACATAGTTATCTTTTTTTTTAGTGAGTATCTTTCACACTCCTTTTACTTTCAATCTTTCTGTGTCTTTAGTATTGTAATAGGTCTTTGGCAAGCAGGTGCATTTTACATTTTGTTTATTCATCCTTAATAATCTTTACTGTTTAACTGAATAATTGACAGTTCTTATAATTTGTTTTCACCATCTTATTTTGGGTACTTAGTAGTCCCTCGTTTTATTCATTCAACAAATACTGAGTGATCACATACTGTCTGAAGTATGTATGTTTGAAGCACTGTGCCATATATGATTAAATTAACAGTTTGTTAAGATACTGTAGCTAATTGTAATAGAGAAATATTACATATGTGGGTCTTTAATCTATAGCTCTGGATATATTCCAAAAACTAGCATCCAAACATTTTCTGTGTACCATGATGCCATACCTATAAACTCAAACCTTTTTAATTCTCTCAGAATAGTTATCAGCATTATTAGAATATATTTTATACATGTTAATAAACTAATAACTTATGGCTTAGTTTTGGGGGTGATGTATGTGTGTTCTGTGACCAAAGAATAATTAAACTTTTATTTCTCTGGAAACTGCTGTGAAATATTTAAAGATACAAGAGGTAGGAAGAGCAATGCAAATACTTTTTATTTATTTTTTTTTTTTAAATTTTTTTTTCAACGTTTTTTATTTATTTTTGGGACAGAGAGAGACAGAGCATGAACGGGGGAGGGGCAGAGAGAGAGGGAGACACAGAATTGGAAACAGGCTCCAGGCTCCGAGCCATCAGCCCAGAGCCTGACGCGGGGCTCGAACTCACGGACCGCGAGATCGTGACCTGGCTGAAGTCGGACGCTTAACCGACTGCGCCACCCAGGCGCCCCTATGCAAATACTTTTTAAAATAAAATATAAAGTTGAAATTGATTACTGATTCAATAATACCTAATAAAATAATAATTGCCAGGTTGCTATAATCACACAACTAATAACATAAAAAGAAAACTTTTTAAAGAGTCCATGATGGCATTAAAAATGAGGAATTTTTAAAATTAGAAAATACCACACTACATTACAAATCATAGAAAACTAAGATTTAGTACATCTAGCTAAAAATAAAAAAGATGTTTTATGTTTTCCCTTTTAAAAGTCAAATGCTGGTCTAAGGAATTCAGAACAGGGATGCCTCAGTGGCTCAGTCAGTTAAGCATAGGACTTTGGCTCAGGTCGTGATCTCATGGTTTGTGGGTTCGAGCCCCACGTCAGGCTGTGCTGATAGCTCAGAGCCTGGAGCCTGCTTCAGATTCTGTGTCTCCCTCCCTCTCTTGCTCTCTGCCCCTCCCCCACTTGCACTCTGTCTCTCTCTCAAAAATAAACATTAAAAAAAAAAAGGTAAGACTTGTTTTTAAAAAAATAAGGAACTCAGAACAAATGTAAATAGATATAATGATTTTTAGCAAGTGTGTCTATTTATGCAGTTACTTAAGGGAAAAAGTATTTTCTTACTTAAAAAAAAAAAAAAAAGTTTTAGCCATAAGATCTGAAGTGAAACTGGCAATGATCTTGCATTCAAAGAAATCTCAAAATACTTGATGAAAAAAAAGATAGTGTATGAAATCCAAAGTTATATATAGAAAAAATATATATATAGATGTCTCAAAGTGTTTTTGTTAACACGCAAGCTGTTAGAATTACATAGAAACGAAAAAGTAAGTAAAGCAATTATACTACTAACCCATTTGTAATTCAGAGATGGTTTCTACGAGTGACCAGTCTAAACTATAACCGCAGTGGGATTTGTCCATTAGGTTGTCCAGTACTTGTCTCACCGTCTGCCTCTCATCCACCATCATTGTTTTAGAACTATCGTCAGACATGTGAACTCTGATCACCAACTATAACAGGTAAAAGGAAATTAAAAACAAACCGAAAAATAGGCATTCTAGAAATTTCTTCCAATATCAAGCAATGTTCTGAGTAATGTTCTTAGTTAAATATAAATTAAAACACAAATAATGACTTTATTATGCAAGAAACTCTAAAATTAGGTATCAAATAACCTACCTAAACAAATTTAAAGCATTTTTAAGGTTATCAGAAGACAATTGTGTTTTAGAATTTAAAACAAAGTTATTTCTTTATAATACATTTTATCTCCAAAAATACATGCGGAAAATGTATTAGGAAGAAATACCCCTCTATCTCTCCGTACCTTAGAAGTATGGTATATAAGCAAGGCAATTCTTTATAAATCTGATTTTAAAAATCCCAAACCCGGAAAACACCCAAATATCACCTTTTTCACTTGAGCCTCTTTAATTTTCTCCAGGGCAACTCTGATCTTCTCAGCTTTCAATTTTGCTGCCTGTTCTTCCTGTGAACACAAAGCACTTCAGGTAAACTGATGCTAACATAATGAGAATTTTTGAAAAGTCTTTTTATCTTAAGGATGTTTGCCAGCATTGAATTTTAGTAAGAATATAACTTCAGCCACTTACATAGAGCACATTTAAAAAATAACCCTACTCACTAAGTAAGATAGACATACAAAGAACATTTTTAAGATGAAGACTTGAAGATCTCTTATAAGACCAGATTCCACCTTCTAAAGGAAAAGCAATCTGTAATGTAGTAAATCTATCAATCTGAAGCAGATAAATTTCAGGTTCTGAGGTAGGAGAAACAGGAATGCATAATGTGCTGTGGTATGGTCCTGCCAGTTTGTCATACCTGCACAATCCCTCAACTCTGAATTTACACTCGCCTCTGAAGTCCGGGCAATCTTCTGCATACTAATGTTTTGTTCTATTATACTAAAAATGTATCTTCATCATAAACAGCAAAAAAAAGTATCAGTTTATTTCTCTGCACTGACATAAAAGTCCCTAATAAAAAATACAGGTATGTTCTCATTAATATACCAATTCAGATAGAGAAGAATGCATTATACACTAGGTTTCATTCTACCTTAAAAAATATACAATATAACCAATGTCTTATGTCAGTTAAACTCAAATTTGTTTCTACTAACTCACTGATGAAATTTTTAAAATTTCAAATATAATTTCAAATATAATTTTCCAAATATCTAATTTCTAGTAACTTCTTTATAAAATTTAGATAAGTAGTAATAAAATTATCAAGAACTACAACTACAGTTACACAGTTTAGTTTTTCCTAAAATAACATATAGTACTGTAATACTGGTACTTACTTGCACTTTCCAGCAATAGGCCATTGTATACTGTAGCCCTAATCTCCAGTTGAGAAAAACTCATATAAGTAAATCTTCACTTATGAAGGATTACTTTCTATTTCTAAGCTTTTGATTACTCTGGAAAATATCTAAGAAAAACATACACTACCATCTTATACATTCCTATATTTAATATAAGACTTAAAACAAAAGAAAACCCTGGTTATATCAGCCAACTTTACCTGCTCTGGATTATGATTAAAAAATACAATCCATATGTTACTCTTCACGAAAAAGCTAAAGCTTCCAGAGTCAAAAACAAAAACGAACTTCATTTATAAGATTTACTCCCTGTTCTCCTAAATTGTTGTCTTTCTTGTTTCTGAACTGTTCTCTTTCCATTTCATAATCTAGGCTATCTTCCCTCATTTCAAGCTTAATAGTTACTACTCTGTAGAACAGAGAAGAAAATAGTGGTTAGAGAAGATACTGGGCTCCTTTGCCAGAAATCAGATCCTTTTCAATGAAAGGAGCCAGTGAATTAACATAATAACTGAGGCGTGGAAATACTATCTGTAAACCCAATTAGGGAACAAAGAACTTTATTTTAACAATGGAGGGGGTAAGATAAGACTTGATTCTTAGACTATTCTAGGTATATTCATTTGATTAAAGGATTAAATCCTGTATCCACCCCCCCCTTTATGCAAATAAACAACATAAAATATGTCGCCTGTGTATTTCACAGTAAGTTTCTTTTTTCTTTTTAATGCAGGCTATACAGTGAGAAAACTATGCTACTGTCATTAAAACTTAGTTTCTAGAATTCTGTGTCTTAGAGAAACAAACCATTATTAAATTACCAAACCCTGGGTTTCTAAGTACAGCACTACTCTAGAAAGGAATTTTGAATACTAGCATTTCCAGTGGTTTTTATGAAATCAGTTGACAGGTTTTTGTTTTTTTTTTTTTTTTTTTTGGGTGGGGGGAGAGGAAAGAAGGAAGCACGAGTCTTACAAATGTTTTCTCAATGGGATAATGATCTTATGTTCCTCATGGCTCATTTCCCACATCTTTGTATTAGTATGAATGGCTGTTACAGAGAAGAAAAATTTATCAAGGCATATTTTCAAGTTTTACTTCATGTCTCTGAAAAGCAAATTTAAACCTCAAAGTCTGGTGAGGAAAGACTGATATGCAAAATCAATGCTTTGTGTATTTGTAATATAAACATGAACTTCCAGAAGGCCAAATACTTTTATAACATTATAATTATTCTGCAGAAGTTAAAAAAATTGTCTCCAAAGCCAAAAAACATTTTTAAAAGAAAAAGAATATTCAGGAGGATAAGACAAGCTACAGACTAGGAAAAAATATTTGCAAAATATTTATCAGACTTATCCGATAAAGGACTATTTATCTAAAATATACTAAGAACTCTTAAACTCAAGAAAATGAACCCAATAAATGGGTAAAAGACACAAACGAACAACTCACCAAAGAAGATACACACGTGGCTAATAAGCCTATGATGCTCAATGTCATATGTCTTTAGGGAACTGCAAATTAAGACGAGATACCACTACACAACCTATTAAAATGGCCCAAATCTAAAACACTGAAAACATCAAATGTTGGTAAAGATGTGGATCAAAAGGAACTCACATACATTGCTGATGGGAATGCAAAATGGTACAGCCACTTTGGAAGATAGTTTGGTTGTTTCTTATAAAACTAAACATGCTCTCACAATATGATCTAGTAATCATGCTCCTTAGTATCTACCCAAATAAGGTGAAATTTACCTCTACCCAAAAATCTGCACACAGATGTTTATAGCAGCATTATTTATAAATTTGCTAAAACTTGGAAGCAACCCAGATATCCTTCAGTAGGTAAATGGATAAACTGTGCTACATCCAGACAATGGAATATTAGTGCTAAAAACAAATGATCAAGCCATGAAAAGACATCAGGGAAACTTTAACGCATATTACTAAGCAAAAGAAGCCAATCTGAAAAGGCTGCACACTATATGATTCCACTTTCTTTTTTAAAATTTATTTATCTGAGAAAGAGAAAGAGAGTGGGCATGCGTGGGTCCAAGTCGGGGAGGGACAGAGAGAGAGTCCCAAGCACACTCCGCACCGGCAGTGCAGAGCCTGATACAGGGCTCAAACTCACAAACCGTGAGATCATGACCTGAGCCGAGGTCAGATGCTTAACCAACTGAGCCACCCAAGCACCCTGCACACTATGATTCCAACAACAGGACATTCTAAAAAAAGGCAAAACTATGGAGATAGTAAAAAGATGAGTGGTTGCCCAGGGTTGGGGAAGAGGGAGGGATAAGTGGAGTGAAGCTATTCTTCATGATACAATGTTAGATACATGTCACTATACATTTGTTCAAATCCAAGACTGTCTTTGTTAATAAACTGGAGGGTTCCCAAGAGGGAACCCTACTGTAAACTATGGATTCTGGGTGATAATGATATGCCAACAAAGGTTCATCAGTTGTATCAAATGTACCATTCTGGTGGGGGATGTTGATCACTCTGTACCTTCCCCTCAATTTTACTGTGAATCTAAAAGTTCTCTACAAACATAAAGTTTATTTTAAAAAGGAATATACAAATTTGAATACTGCATTCTGATACTGGTTATAAATATAAAAATAATATTTTCATATTCCCCTTTTAGTATAATATTATTTGCCAAATACAAAAGAACACAACCAGTGCTACCTTTTGAAGCACTGATTAAAAAAAAGTCATTCAATTGTAAGATTAGTTTCAATGAAGTTTTTGTTCCACAGGCTAACAGGAAAAATGCTGACACACCAGAAGAAAGAATTAATGAAACAAGAGATACAGTGCAACCATTTGACATATATTAAACCAATTAGATTTCCTAGTCATCAGTAAGAAACCATCTTTATGTAAAGCACCGTAGGTGGGACTATGTAGAAATTTTTGTTGTTGTTGTTTCTTTATTTTTGAGAGAGAGAGAGAGAGACAGACAGACAGAGAGTGAGTGGAGGAAAGGCCAGAGAGAGAAGGAGACGCAGAATGCGAAGCAGGCTCCAGGCTCTGAACTGTCAGCACAGAGCCCAATGCGGGGCTCCAACTCGTGGGGTCTTGAACTCATGAACCATGAGATCATGACCTGAGCCCAAGTCGGATGCTTAACCGACTGAGCCACCCGGATGCCCCTAGGTGGGGCTATTTTAACATCCAAATTCAGCCCTTCCATGTGCTTAAAATACTACTCTTGATCTGTTTTAAAACTATATCAAGTTCAAATTTAAGAACTATGTGCTTAATGTCAACCTAGGCAAATTTTAGTTTATTCTTCTCCAGTTTATTAACAAGGATGATCCTTGCTAGAAGCTTTTTGAAGAAACAACTGATCAAGATACCTCTTACTTTTAGATTTTAGAGTCTGAATATCATCACTGGAGCAAAATTGAAAATAAAAATATTTATATCAAATTGCAGGATCATAGCATTTTATGCTTCTTATGGATAACTTCTTCCTCGGAAAGGTTGATTTCACCTACATTATCATGTTGACCCTAACAACCTAGGAGAGGAAGAAATTGTTTTAAGTTCATAAAGTGTACAATAAAGATCACTCTTTGTTGATATGTTTAGATTATATAGTAAGAAGACATATGGCAGTTTATTTATAAACTGACTTCAATACAAAGAACAAAGCTTTATTCATCTCATGTTCTCTTCTTTTTGTTAATGCAGAAACCCTCAGGTCTTAAGCCTTCTCTGCCCCTTATCTTTTGACTATCCCTTTTCTCCACATTGTTTGTCCCACAGCCATCCTAAACATAAGTAAAAGGTATCTCACACATACAACAACTTTCTCTACTACCCTGTCTCTTAAAAGAGCAAAAGACAACCCATTTTCAACCTGAAAAACTCCTGTGGGGCTATCAATAACCATCAAATGCCAAGCCTCTTCAAATTTACATAAAGAACAAAACTCAGTGAAGATCTTCTGATTAAATGAAAGCCAATGCTGTGGTTACACAGTGTTGAAGCATTCTCTTTAGTGTAAAAATTAAAATTTCACAGAAAGAGTGACAGTTGCTAAGAGATGGCCAATGAATTCCTTCAACTAAGAAATTATTAAGGCTTTGATGGTTCAGAACAAATCCAACTGAAATTAAGGGGTTAAAAAGTGGTTAGCAGTTTCTTTGGGATCTAGCTTCACATTTTACAAAAAGTTATGTAAATTTAAAAAGATTCCAAGGAAACTTTGAGTGGTAAATAGCTCACTGCCTATGAAATGTTCTACTCTTTACTACTTAGAGCCCAAATAATAATAGTAACAACTAGTTTATTTCCTTGGAGAAATCAGGACATTTAACATTAACTGAACACCTAAAACTTGCCACACACTATGAGACATTCTTGCACATAGTATCTCACTTAATTCTGAATTATACAAGGCCAATATCATTATTATATCCATTATACTGATTAACCAAGGCCCAGAAAGACTAATCTTTCTAAGATCATACCGGCAGTTACCAAATGACTAACTACTTGCTCTCTCCACTATAATGTTGTCACAGTTCCTTTTGTTCTTAAACGTTATAGCACAAACTTATGGGAAAGCAGTAAATAAAAACTGCTTGTGAAAAATGAAAAGACTTACAGTAATATAATAGCATTTTTGTAACTTCCCTGAAGCAAAGAAAATGGTGGTTAACATTATTAACAGTCCTTAGAAGTCACTAAAGGACCACTGTGTTATGTGACAGATGTTTGTTGAGACTATGCAGGCTTGGATCTGAGTGCAGGGGAGAGAGTTCCTGCTCTCAAGGAGCTTACATTTAAGGAGATAAAACAATAAAGAAATAGATGTATGATAAGTCAGTCAGGGATAAGTCCTACGGAAAAAAATAAAGTAGGGTAAGGGAGTAAAGAGTGACAAAAACACATTGTTAGATGAGGAGGTCAAGGAAGGCATTTAGAATGGTACCCAGAGTTTTAAGGGCATCAGATCAACAATGTGTCCTTTGTCCACTGCTCCATTTATGGCAAAATAGTTCTGTGCTGGCACTAATGCCATTCTTAGAAGAAACTGGTTGGTATGGTTTTTGCAGAGGTTCCCGGCTCAGAACTGTATGTAGGATAGTTAGTTCGGTAATAGAGGTATAGGGACAACTGGATTTATATGGAAAAACAAAACAAAACAAAACAAAACATTCCCTTTGCTGCCTTGGCTTAAGCACAGTGCCACTATGTTCATTCTACTGGGTGTCACAATGTCTTAGTTTGGAAAAGTGCATATAAGAGGTGGGTCGTAACTGGGGCATGATGCTTTTTGGGTAAAGGGAACCAGACTGCCACAAAGGTGGCATGCAAGAGGTATAAATTCATTTTAGCTTCACAACAGCCAAATTCTGTGGTATTGAGGACACTGACATTGAGAAGCTCCTGCAGCATGGGTTATCTGGGGATTTCTACCACCTCCTTGACTCCATGCCCCATCCCAGCCTATGTGTTTAGGTTCTATGCTAATGAATCACATTCTTGCTCAAATTTCTTGTTGTATGTAAGCAGGGACATAGCTGGAGCCAGGTGTTTGGCTATATAGACCAGCAGTTCCAACACCTAGGTAATGGGAGAAGGAGATAATCCGAGCAGAGATGGCTCTGATGCTGCAGTTGGTATCACTGTCTCTTGGGCAGAAGGAAATGAGAGTTACTGACTGGATAACTCTCCCCGAGATAGGAACTTTGTACTGTTCACTGCCAAAGCCCCAGGGTTGTGAACATGGCATGTATCTGTTGAATGAAGTTATTCTCTTCAACAGTTTGCCACTACATTTGGAAAAAAAATACAAACTCTTTAAGCATGCTGTGAACAATCTGGTTCCTGCCTACTTCTCCAAACCCAAATCAAGACCACTCCTATCTACATTCAACTACTGTGGCTCCAGCAACATAGCCTTTTTTTCAACTTCTCAAACCTACCTAACTCTTCTCCCTGAGCCTATCTATATGTAACACTAACCTTCACCCTCAAGCTGGCTTCTTTTCATCCTTCAATGTTTAGGTTAAATGCTGCCCATTTAGAAGGGTCTTTTCTGATTTTACCATCTAAAGAAAATGTATTCCTAATATTCTCCCCAGTACTCTCTATTGTTTTACCTTGCTTCCTCCATAGTATTTAACATAATTTAGAATTTGCTTCTATTTGCTTGTTAATATTTTTTTTTTATCTGTGTTCCTAAGTAGACTGTGAGCTCCTGAGGGTAGAGGGATATGTCCATTTTATACAAAGCTGTATCTCAGCCCCTAGCATAATACCTGACTCAACAAATATTTGTTCAATAAATAAACAACAGAAATGGTAAAATGTTACATCTGAGTGCAGTATACAAAATGGACTGGAGGAAAGAGAGGCAAGAATGAAGAGGCCAGTGCGGTAGCCTGATAAGAGGTAAGCGCCTATTTTAGGGTGGTAGCAATGGTAATAAAATGGATGGGTGAGCCTAATCCTGCAATTTCTTCATTGTAGCTTTAAGATAGTAACTGAGAAGAAAGGCACTATCGATGGTAACGAGGGCTCACACCTGGGTAACCAGGACAGTGGCAGCATTCTGAACAGAAACAGAAATGTCACAAGAAGAAGGACATAAACTGAGGCCCCAGGGTAAGTGTGAGTAACAAAGCTAGAGATCTGTAGGAGTGGAGATGCTGGGAAAATGCTGGTAATCTTTAAGAAATGCGATAGCGATCTGGAAATATGTTGCTCTCAGGTGAAGAGATCTCATCTAGAACAGAGATCCTAGTTGAAGCTATGAGTGTGGATTCTGGGGAGACAGAGAGTAAACAGAGTAGGAGCTGAGGAAAGGAAAAAACTTTGCTATGGTTATAAAGTATAACGTGGCTATTATCTGCTTAGAATTCTACATTTCCCTACCATAAGCTGCTTCTACCCCATTCCTAGATCACTTTAAAGAGAAACTCAAGCGAGAGAAAGGATTTCACTGTGGACTCATGGGTCTTTGAGCTGTTCCTCTCAGAGAGATTTTAATTTTAGCCTTATTACCCTCTTTCACAAGTTTAAAAGGTTAAGTAATACATTTTTTTAAAAAACCCTCAGACGTAATAACTTAACACACATTACCCATTATCACCACACATATTCCAAAGAAACTATAACCAAGTCTGAATTCTTGAATTCATTCTTGAACCATTCTTGAATTTAACAGTATTTAAATAAGATAATGAAATAAAAACATGACTTGAAAAGAGGTAAAAATCTATTCAGCTTCCCTATTCTGTTATTCCTTAGTTAATAAAGACAGTGGCTAAAGGATTTTTTTTAAAACCCACCACCGCCTCGCCTCCCCCCACCCTTTTTTTTTTTAAGGATTTTAAATTGATGTAAAATATCAGCCCAGTGAAAATCCAGTTGGACCAATTCAAACCATTCTGAAGGCAGAGAACTGAGAAATTAAAATTACAGCTTTCTCTTCCAATTTGATTAAACTAATGTAAATTAAAGTAAGATTCTGTTTATATAAATAAATGTTTTAATTAAACAAAGTGTTTATAATGCAAACAAGAATTAGAGAACAAAATTTGCTAAAGAAACTCAGAGCATGGATAACCACTAGTAATGAAAGTTAAAATTAAAGCAATGTTTTTTGGCTTTAAAATGAAATAAAATGTTAAACTAGATTGGTCAGGTCATTTACAAAAGTTAAAAACTAGTGAAAAATTATGGAAAATATTTTCCACTCTCAATATTTTCTGAAATTGAGAGCAGAATATTAAGTCATTATATCTTACGTCATTAAGATCAATAAATAATTACCTTCAGTAAGAGAAAAAATAACTCTACTAACAACAAAAGTGCTTAAATAAGAAAGTACAATCTGAGAGCACAATCAAAACTGGAAATTATATTCTACCTAAAAGGAAACAAATATTTACATGCAGGTGGAAAGAAGAAGTATCACCTTGGTCAGCAAATGAGAAGGTTTTCCTGCAATGTTTCTCAGAAGAAGGGAGGTTTCCCTGTCCAGATAGGAGTGCTTGTGCAGAAAAAGAGAGAAAAACAAAAAAGGCAATAGAAGTCAGCAGAGATTTTATGTGTTTAAAATATAAAGTAGACAAAGAATGATTCTCTATCATTAATCTCATGTCTCTTTCCTACAGTGAAATGTGTTCATAAGAAAACTTAAAAAAAAAAAAAAAGAAGAAAAAAAGGATGGAGAGGCAGACACCATCTATGCCAGCAGGCATGCCCTACCTGACTCCTGGTGGTCCCTCACTCTGAGAAAATGGACCATGCACTGCACAGATCACAGAGCCAGTTGGTCTTCTTAGGCAATGTTTGTGAGTGCTGTGCACACGGCACAGATAAATAGGTGTTGAAGACCAATGACTAAATGTATTCCTTATTCTTATTAAAGCCTATAGAGACCTATATAGCTTTAGGTAGTATATTCTTATGAAAATAGAACAAGTCTATATCATTTCAAAAACTCTGCAAGTATTTCTGATCAATTCAATGATAGCTACACCAAGAGAAAAAAATGTCCACAAATATTTTGCCTAGTGGATATCATCTGTTTTCAATAAAATCTTATCAATTCACTCATTATATCAACACTAATAGGACTATATTGCACAATAAAGGACTTACATAGCAAACAAATGACATAAACAAAATATTAACAGTATAGTTTCTTTACACTGATTAAATTCAAGCATTTAATATATTTTCATAAGAATGGTTTGTGAATAATGAAGTCCCTAACTATCCTTTTCCCCCTTAATAACTTTTTAGTAACATATTCAACGTAAGTTCATGCAATTGTATTTGAACTCACAGAGTATAAATTATAGTTGTTTCCATATATATGTAATTCAAACTTGCCTGTCCCTAAATAATTCTGAATTAGAATTTATTTTTTAAAGCTATGTAGTTACTAACCACCATTTAAAACAATACATCGACACTGCTGAGTGGAATTACAGAAAATACTCTATGATATTACATTTTATAAATGTAACTGTATATAAAGTTATATTTTGTAATATATAAATATATATTTTATAAATATAACTGTATACCAAGTTATTCTTGAGAAAAAAATTCTTTGGAAAGAAATTTAAGTGAACTAGAGTAGCACCCACTCTCAGAAAATTGTCAGAGATAATAAAACACACTACTTCTAAGGTTAATATTCTATTAAGATTAATCTTATATTAATTCTAATCTTAATTCTATTCTAAGATTAGAAACACTGTTACAGAAAAGAATATTAACTTAATCTTTGCTCATATCTACACTACACTGAGTTGAGTTTGCTACTTAATATTTGATTATCTATATAATTTATGCTTTAATACAAGATGAACCTTATAAGCATACCTGCCCCTTTCACCCATTCCTGCAAAAACAAAAACAAACAAACAAAAAAAAAAAAAACAAAGGAAAAAAAAACTAAAGTTAAAAAAATTGGGCATATTCATTAAGATTAGCACTAACAGGATCAAACAATAACAAGAACAGAGACAATTATCTCTAGGTCCTCATTTACCTAAATAGTATAATCCTCCTGAAGGAAAAGATTAGTTGGCTTATCCATAAAGACGCAGGGCAAGAGAAATTTCTAAAATTGCAATTTAATTATTTAATTGTTGAGGTTAACAATCCACTAAGACCAAGGAGAAAACTGGGAAGGACAATTAAAAAGAGCAACTATAACTTTCACTGCTCTTCCATTCATTCATTTTTTGCTCACATGCAATGGCAACAAATGTATTTTATTTAATTTTTAAACATTTATTTATTTACTTATTATTTATTCATGAGAGAGAGAGAGAGAGAGAGAAGAGAGAGAGAGAGAGAGACCACACATGCAAGGGAGGGAGAAGGGCAGAGGGAGAGAGAAAGAATCCCAAGCAGGCTCCAGGTTCAGCATGGTGCAGGGCTCAGTCCCACAACCCTGGGATCATGACCTGAGATGAAATCAAAAGTCAGACACGCAACCAGCTAAGCCACCCCAGGTGTCCCTGGAAACAAATGTATTCTTACACAATTATGTAAAATACACAGAAAACTATTCTTAAAAACCTACTCCTATTTCCTTTATCTTATTCAAAGATTACTTTTTCAGAAAAAGATCCCTCAAATAAGTAGAATATCTATATTCAGAAAATTATATTTCAAATTAAATTTAAAAAATCTGATTCATGCCATCAAAATGAACTATTATTTGGTGAATATAATTCCAGACATTAAATTTGAGTTTAAACTTAAAAATCATACAGGATTTACTCAATTAGTCCTCAAACTCAAATCACCTCAAGACTTCAAACACGCCTCACTCCAAAAAAAGAAACCTGTGATCTAATCAGTGAGAAATACTGATACCTAACTGTATTTGTTTAAAGACTCATAAATAGAAGTTATACATTTAAAAATATTAAAAGGTTTGGGGCACCTGGGTGGCACAATGGGTTAAGTTCTGACCGATTTTGTGGTCATGATCTCTCACAGTTCATGATCCAATTCATGCTCTACACTGTCAGCCTGGGATTCATTCTCTCTCTCTCTCTCTCTCTCTCTCGTCCCTATCCCACTCGCATGCATGTTCTCTCTCTCAAAGTAAATAAACATTAAAAAAAAGAAGAAAGTATTAAAAGGTTCAAACAGCCTAAAATAAAAGGGAGATAATCATTATATTATCATAGCTGGTGTACCAAAAATAATCCACATCCAAAAAATTAGACCACAAACAATATCAGAACATGATCATAAATTATTCTGTGCTTGGGACAGTCACATAGGTATTCACTGCTTACTCACTAGCTGGGAGGGAAGCCAGGCCGGCATGTTTCCTCTAAGTTTTAAGTATTTGTAGCACAAAAATGAAAACCTAGAAACCACAAGCAGCCAACTCCTTCCTTCAACAAATGCCTTACTTTACCTTCCCCTAATGGTGCCAGTCATGTGTTGCTCTACAATTCCTCAGAAAGTGGGCTAGGATGTCAGGAGAACTGGTTACTGGAGAAAAATGCAAGAGGGATGAGAAAAGTGGTATGCAGTTGGAGGACTGAGAAAAGCAAAGGCCACAGTGGTTTGTGCATGTCCTTAAATTAGTCTTCTGTAATGGCACACGGTGCTGGTAACAAAAATGCACATCACTTCATTTAAATAGGGCCTTCTTAGATTTTCTTTCATTCACCACTAACAATATAAAGTCAGTGGCTTATTTTCAATCCATTTCACTGGTTTATTAGCTTATTTTCTCCTTTCCATTTTCCCCTTTATTTTTTCAATTATTTATTAGATTTCAACTTTGAGCCTGGAGCCATGTAAGGCACTGGAAATGCAAAGGTGATCAGGATAGGCATTCCGTTGCTCTCACAAAGCTCAGAGTCTAACAGGGAGATAAACTGGCAACTTTAATACAATGTGTTAAGTGGTATAGGGGCAGGTAGGAGGTGGGAGTATCTAATGCAAAATTAGGGGCTCAGAAAGTATTTCTCAAAATGCTTAGAGTCCTGGAAGATGAGTAAGCAGCAGCTAGGGGTGTTGTGGGAGGTAGAAACAGAACAAATAGAGATATCAGAGGCTCTAGAAGGGGACAGTACTACCTTCAAGGAGACATTTCAGAAAATGGGGATATTTTGGACTGTCACAATGAAGAGGAGGAGGGTGTTACTGGAATTTATTATGACGGAAACAGAAATGCTGGATGCCCTGAAGCATGGAACAATGTCACATAATAACGGTAAAAGTCCCACATCATACATGAACTTTTACTGTCTTTATATAGAAAATCATATAGATGGAAAATACTGTTCCTAACATTCTGAGCTTAGACCCCAACTCCGTTTTACATATAAATACAATATATTTCTGTGTAATTTTAATATTCAGTGACTCTTCCAACAATGCTATTTACCTTGTGAAATAAACTTTTGTCCAAAAGTTTGCCAAGAGTTATTCATTACGTTGGAAAATCATTTCACCATGGAAACCTAGCTTAAAGAGTTGCCAAACCAGAACGGACAGTATCACTGTGCACTCTGTCACATGAAAGTAAATGACAGGAGAGATTTGAAGTTCCTTTTAACAGAATTAAGAACTAAATACTATTAATGAAAAGACATGAAATGCAAGGACTTCTCTGAGCTTCAGTAATAAAGACTTTTAAAATATTCCATATTACTCTTATTTAAAATAGTTATAGCATAATGAGAAATCTATGCTGTAAAAATATCAAATATCAAAATAATTTTATTATTGCCTCATCCGATTTGTAAGATAGTGAATGGTTTTATCACAATTAGAAATAAGACTCGTGTAAAAATTTTATACTTCCCCATTTTCTTTTTTTTGAGCCTATAAGTAGCCTCAGCACATTATCCCTACTTCAGTTAAGGTTATTTTCCTTTTTCTATTACCAAATATAGGTATGTTTTGTCTGCAATTATTTGTCATAAAATGTTTTAGTTCTAGGCCCACCCATATTTCTCCTTTTTTCCTGTAAAAAATGACTTCTGATCTGCTCACCTTTCTTAAATCCAAATTATAAGTGGGTATATGATTATGTTATTATGTCTTTTAATACAGTGGTGGTCAAACATTTAAAAACTGAAATAGATACATTATTATAAGTTGCTTTTTGGTTATTCTCCACCATGGGTATTAATTAGAGCATTAAATTTATTTTAAAAAGTAGGTATGTAGGTAGGGTATAGTATCTATGAATTTCACTTGGGATAAACATAGTGATCTATATTATTTGTTATAAAATGGGGGTACTGGGACTGGAAGAATTAAGAACTGAAACAAGTAGATGGCAATGCAAATATTACAGCAAGTGTCGATGATGCTTAAGAGTATAAGGGAGGGGCTGAAGGTGAGGTAAGAAAAGTGTTTTTCACTATGCAGGATATAACCCACTAGTGGATTATGAAATAAATTCACTGGGTTACTAGGTTATTACCAGGCAAGGGAAGGGGATGGAAAGAAATGGAAGGAGGGTCAGAGGGAATCTGATTCGGTTGGACAGGGGTCAGGAACTTCGCATTTTCTTGTTATTCATAGATGATTCTGAAGCAGCAGTGTCCAACTGAATATAATACAAGCCACAAATAAAATTTAAAATTTTCTAGGGGTGCATGGGTGGCTCAGTTGGTTGAGCGTCCGGCTCAGGTCATGATCTCACGGTCCATGAGTTCGAGCCCCACATCAGGCTCTGTGCTGACAGCCTGGAGCCTGCTTCAGACTCTGTGTCTCCCTCTCTTTCTGACCCTCCCCCGTTCATGCTCTGTCTCTGTCTCTCTCAAAAATAAATAAACATTAAAAAAAAAAATTTTTTTTTAATTTTCTAGTAACCACATTAAAAAAAAAGGAATGGTAAAATGAACATTAGTATCTTTTATTTAACTGAAAATATCCAAAATAATATAATTTCAAGAAGTAATCAATAAAAATATTAACATTTATATTTTTAATATTAAGTCTTTGAAATCCATGGTGTAATTTATTTTTATAGCACATCTCAATTTGGATTAAGCACATTTCAAGTGCTTAATAGCCACATGTAGCTAGGGGCTACCATAAGGAACAGCATAGCTCTTAAGCATCCAGCTTTGTCAACCACTGATCAGAGGGTACATTTTTGAAGAAAGAAATTGGGTTTTCAGTGAAGCATCAGTGTGGAAGAGTCACTCTACTTGACAACCCCATTCGGAAGAACAGCTACATTTGTCCATACCTTAAGAAATATACAAAAGCCCTTAGTTTCAGAGTAAGAAAGAAAGTATGTAGCTTTAGGTTCTGATACAAAATTTCTTTATAAAAGATACCCTACCACCTATATAATCTTACCGTATTAACATTCAGTTGTACTGTTTCATGCAGTTGCTCATTTGTTTTCTGCTAGTTTAAGACTGGTTTAATTTTAATTCAAAAAATTTAGGTATATGACCAGTTTTCATCATCAGGAGTTCTAAAGAATGCATTCCTCTTCATTGCTATTTTAGCAGTCCCACGGACAGGTTTACAGAACTTACAGGTGTCAGCTCAGCCTGTTCTTCTGTGAAGTCAGTATGATGCTTGGCCTGCTTGCTGGGGCATCTCAGAGAAATAGCATGCTGTGAAAATGCAGGAAGGAAGAAAATGATAGGTAAAGGAGGTGGAAAAGGGCCAGTCTCATTATCATGCAGGAAGAGAAAAAGATCACTGAAATGAATCGTTGAAACAAAATAGTAATGAAAAGTTGCATGCATCTTTAATTATATTATGCAAAAATAAAAAAGAACCAGATGATCTAACCCTTGATAACTTAAGGATAACTTAAGGATAACCTCACTACTTTTGAGACAGCAGAGCTCTATGGGAAGCTATGCACAAACACCAAGTCTAATACCAATTCCTGCTTCAACTGGGCCCTGACTGCTGTTTGGCAGTACTCTTATTAGTCTTTTCCCCCCACTTCCTAAGTCATTCCCTCTAAAGCTCGTTCTAAGCAGTTTCCAAGTTGGTCAAGCTTCTAGTTTCACCCTTCCACCTCTTCGTATGACTTCATTTCACCCCATTACTAAGAACATCACATCCCTCAGTGAGGATTTTCATCACTAAAATGTATCCTTGAACCACACCTCTTTCTCATCTTTTTCTCCATTTCTGTATGAATAAATATATATTAAGTATGTCCTAGATCCCATTCATTTCCCCTCATTCCCAGTCTCTATATTCAACTAGTCCAGCTTATTGGGAGTGGGAAAGACAGAAAAATATTAATACTTCTAGGGACCCACCTCTTGTTAAACTAGTGTTTTCTCCTTTTCACTGCTAAATTTCCTGAATTCAGCTATAGTATACTACCCTTCACTTATCTCTCAATTTCCTGCAATCTAGCATCTATCTTTTTTCCAAAGTCTGCATCCTTTGAGTTGTAATGCATTCTACAATTCATTCTCGAAGTCATCAATGATCTTTTAACCAAGGATTTCTATCTTTCCTATCATAACACTCACTACACTGTACTGAAACTGAAATTGTTTGGTTGTCTGTACTGGCACTTTCTCCTTACACTATAAATTATAACCTCCTAAGGACACTGTGTATTATGTTCACAGTTTTACCCCTTACAGCCTAGTGCAATGCCTAGGCACTCAAATATTTATGGCATGAATAAATGACTACTGCTTCTTGGATTTCCCACCACAAGCTTGTTCAGATCAAGACTGTTTCTGCAACAGACGTTGGCAAGGATGTGGAGAAACAGGAACCCTCTTGCACCACTGGCAGGAATGCAAACTGGTGCAGCCACTCTAGAAAACAGTGTGGAGATTCCTCAAAAAATTAAAATAGAATTACCCTACAACCAGCAATAGCACTACTAGGAATTTCTCCAAAGGACACAGGAGTGCTGATGCACAGGGACACATGTACCCCAATGTTTATAGCAGCACTATCAACAATAGTCAAAGTATAGAAAGAGCCCAAATGTCCATCAACTGATGGATGGATAAAGAAGATGTGGTATGTATATACAATGGAATACTACTTGGCAATGAGAAAGAATGAAATCTTGCCATTTGCAACAACGTGGATAGAACTAGAGGATATTATGCTAAGTGAAATAAGTCATTCAGAGAAAGACAGGTATCATATGTTTTCATTCATATGTGGAATTTGAGAAACTTAACAGAAGACCATGGGGGAAGGAAAGGGAGAAAGATAGTTTCAAACAGAAAGGAAAGCAAAACATAAGAGACTCTTAAATACAGAGAACAAACTAAGGGTTGATTGGGGGTGCGGGGAGGAGGGAAAAATGGGTGATGGGCTTTGAGGAGAGCACTTGTTGGGAGGAGCACTGGGTGTTGTATGTAAGTGATGAATTATGGGAATCTACCCTTGAAGCCAAGACTACACTGTATATACACTGTATGTTAGCCAACTTGACAATAAGTTATATTAAAAAAAAATCAGCCAACATGCATTTATTGAGGGGCATCTATAACTGTGCCCAGTACTGGTAAATATTCAGAAGTAAAATAAATGACTTTATTTAAAAAAACTGTTTTTTCTTTATTGAGGTATAATTGACAAATAAATGACTCTTAAGAAAAAAAAGACTTTTTTCTTTGCCCTCTCTACACTGTCTCATTAAACATATTCTCTAACGTGCCAATCACTCTATCATGGGAGGCCTATCAAATGTATATTGCCAATATCCCCATTCTTGGGAAATAAATAAAGACTGCAGTATTAAAGACTAAAGGGGCATGATAAATGCAATTGACTGCCAAATGGTATGGGGAAGCAACTGTATATATAAAAAAACAATAAAGCAAATGTTGCAAAATACCAAAAATTAGTGAATCTGAGTAATGAGTTTCATGAGTTCTTTGTACTATTCTTTCAAGTTTTCGAAAGTTTCCTATTATTTCAAAATAAAGTTTCTTCATTTGTTTATTTATTTTTATTTTTATTAAAAAAAATTTTTTTTTTCAACATTTATTTATTTTTGGGACAGAGAGAGACAGAGCATGAACGGGGGAGGGGCAGAGAGAGAGGGAGACACAGAATCGGAAACAGGCTCCAGGCTCTGAGCCATCAGCCCAGAGCCTGACGCGGGGCTCGAACTCACGGACCGCGAGATCGTGACCTGGCTGAAGTCAGACGCTTAACCGACTGCGCCACCCAGGCGCCCCTTGTTTATTTATTTTAATTTGCATCCAAGTTAGTTAGCATACAGTGCAATAATGATTTCAGGAGTAGAATCTAGTGATTCATCCCCTACATGTAACAAACACCCAGTACTCATCCTAACAAGTATCCTCCTTAATGTTCCTTGCCCATTTAGCGCATTACCCCTACCAAAAACCCCTCCAGCAGCCCTCAGTTTGTTCTCTGCCAAAATAAAAAGTTAAGAATCTATTCTCTGTAGACTCCATCTCATACAACCTCCCATCTGAAGTGTTCAACAAAAAGAGATGACTGACTATATACCATGTTAGTATGACGGAACATTAGTTATTAAAATTCAACACATTGAGGGGTGCCTTGGTGGCTCAGTCAGTTGGGTGTCTGACTTTGACTCAGGTCATGATCTCACGGTTTGTGGGTTCAAGCCCCACGTCAGACTTTGCACTGATAGCATGGAGCCTGCTTCAGATTCTCTGTCTCCCTTTGTCTCTGCCCCTCCCCTGCTCTCGTTCTTTCTCTCTCTCTCAAAATTAAACATTAAAAAAATTTTTTTAATTCAACACATCCTCACCAAAAATGAATATATGTATGCAAAGTGACAACAGAAGTAGAAATAGTACATGTGCAAAGATTAAATGTCATTACATTAATACAGATGAAAGGGAACATGGAATGATATAGTTTATTTAATATTAGGTTCCACTTCCACAAAATATTCAAATACTTTACTACAAAAAATTATCTTCCCCAAATCTAGTTTTTACCTCAAAAATGAATCTGGGGGTCAATCAATTCAACACATCAATTTTGCTATAAAAATGTTCAATTCCAAAAACTTTTCTTAGCAAGCTATCAAATTTTCCATCTATCAATCAAAAACTCCAAAAATCTCTGCAAAGTTAGTAAAGTTAGTTATGAATCACCACTTTTTTGAACTGAATCTATAACACATTAAAATGAAGTGTCATTTACAAGCCAGAATCTTGTGCTGGTGTTGGAGTGGCGGGGGGGGGGGGGGGGGGGGGGGGGGGGGGGGGGGGAACAGCAGGTGCACAGAAAAGCATTGATCTCATATAGGAGCCAAACCATAATCAAGAAATGACCTCACACCAAAGAACAAAACACTTCCTTTTGATAGCTAACACCTTAGATTACAACTGGAAAAAAGAAGTAGAAGTCAGTGGACACACATTAGGTTTCAATAAAACATTTACATTCATCCTTTACTGACGTGTGTGCATCTTTCACAAATATTAAAAATGAGCACAGCATTGGTAGTAAAGATTGCAGACACTAGGGCTGGAATAGTCATTCCAGTATGAGCCTCTCAGCTTAGCCATTTACTGGCATTGTGACTCTAGGCTTACTATTTAACCTGTTTCCTCATGTGTTAAATAGAGTGATAATAGCATTTTCTCCAAAGGCTGTTGTAAGAAGTGAATACCATTACTATTTATTACAAATGTGGGAAACCACCAACCTTCATCTGAATTTCATTTATGCCTCAATTCATTTAAATTAGAGCTAGTTTAGAGTTGTTAAATTTTAACAATACATTCAGGAATATACTAAAACACCACAAGATGGGGATATTACTGCGTGAATCTCTTCACCCTTTTTCTTCCTCCACCCTTGTATTTCTGTCTCTTGGTCTGGGTCTAAGAGCACTGGTCATTTTGAGTTTATTTTTGTGAATGGTGTAAGAAAGTGGTCTAGTTTCATTCTTCTGTATGTTGCTGTCCAGTTCTCCCAGCACCATTTGTTAAAGAGACTGTCTTTTTTCCATTGGATATTCTTTCCTGCTTTGTCAAAGATCAGTTGGCCATACTTTTGTGAAATAAGTCATACAGAGAAAGACAGATACCATGTTTTCACTCTTATGTGGATCCTGAGAAACTTAACAGAAGACCATGGGGGAGGGGGAAAAAAGTTAGAGAGGGAGGGAGGCAAACCATAAGAGACTCTTAAAAAACTGAGAATAAACTGAGGGTTGATGGGGGGTGGGGAAAGTGGGTGATGCACATTGAGGAGGGCACCTGTTGGGATGAGCACTGGGTGTTGTATGGAAACCAATTTGACAATAAATTTCATATTTAAAAAAAAAAATAGAGCACAGGCCAGTCTAGCCTTGTCTTGATTCTCCTTCAATTCTGTGATGAAGCAGCAAGGTATTGCAGTATGAGCTCTACAACCAGACTGTCTGGGTTCAAACCCTGGGGTAACTTATTTGGTCACTCTCTGCTTCAGTTCCTTCAGTTGTAAAAATGGAGGTAATGCTATCTATTCCATAAGACATTGTGCAGATTCAGTGTGTTAAGACATGGTAGGCACAATGCCCAATACAGAATAAACGCCCAATACAGTAGGGGCTATTATTTTCCTGTTTTTCACCCCTCTTCTCTCTATTCCTCTTTCACTAGCCATTATGTAACCAGTA